TGTTACCACGGAAATAGAGATTTGCCTCTAAGGCTCCTTTTATGAGCTTTACAATGAAAAGTGACTTTTACTCTCGCCTACTTTGTATCCCCTTGCTACACACAAGCAGGAGAAGGAAAGGGAAAGGGGTGGAAAGAAAACAGAATGCAGATTCCTGATGCCAGGCACCGTGCTGGAAAACGAGTGGAACCCTTGAATGCAGGACGAAGAAAATGTTCCGGGGCGCTAGTGGGTGTAAGAGGCAGCTAGTTATAAGGCAATCAGGAGAAGGCAAGGAGAAAGGAGAAAGGGAGATCAACGGACTGACCCAGACAATGAAAGAGTAGGGAGAAATGAGGTGAGGGGAAGCTCATTATCACTTAGGTAGCAAGCTCAATGGTGAATTATCACTCAAACAGGCAACCACGTAGCACCTTATGGCTAGTATATCTGTATTCTCAATTTCCTCCCTTTTCAACATGCCATAGTCTAACTTCTATTTTCCTCTGGTCCTAATGCTTTGCTTTAATTCACAATTGTTCTTTTATTATACACAGACACTCTAAGCTGTTATGGAAAAAAGAGGGCTAACTATGTTGTTAATTAATTAAAAATAAAGAAAAGAGAGTTGCAGGGGATAGGGCCCAGATAGCCCTGGGTGATTTGCAGGCCTGGAGAATAGAGTATTTTATCTTTGTTCAGTACTTTGTAAAACACTTTCACCACCTCCACCTTGTGGACTCCTCACAGTGGTCCGTAACTCCCCCTGGCCAGGGAGTGTAACATAGCCACATGTTCTGGAGATGAGGCCGTGGGCACCTCTGGGGGCGCATTCTTCTGCCTACCCACAGGCCTGGAGGGCAGGGTTAGTGAGGGGAGACATCATTCCCCATCTGTTTTCCTGCTCATCTGCATATCTCACAGGGGCTCTGCCTACGAAATAACAGGGTTGGGGACCTTCCGCCTGGTGAGGGCTCCCACCAATTCCACATGCTGGCCAGGGACCTCTGGCCTGGATTAAACCCATCTCTCTAGGGTAAGCCCTGTATCTATGAGTGGGCACTGCTTGGGGTCAGGAGGCCGCCTTGTTCCACACAAATCACAAAGCCAAGCATTGCCCTGGGCCCTTGGAGATCTTGTGACACTCCCGGGAGAGGAGAGAGGGTTCAGCTTGGCATGCTGGTCAAATACCAGGTTGCATAGTTACATCCCCACACCGTGGGACTCCCAATTCAAGCTGAAACTGGGACAGCTCTGAGCACCAAGGCCAGGGCCCCGAATGCACACAGTAGAGTCTTTGCCGTGACTTCGACTCCTACTGAAAGGGCCATCTCAATACCTAAGACATTCAGAGTTTGGAGGGCAGGGAAAACCTTGTAACAAGAAGGAAAACAAAAAAACAGCTTCTCCTTTCTGCTTGGTTGCTTGGCATGATGTTAGGGAAATTTTCATTTTGCTCAAGTCTCAGGCTGATATTTTACCACATGACATTAGTTTGGGTTTTTTTGTTTTCTTTTGTTTTTTTTGCGATTTTTATCACTACCGAAATTAATAAAAGCCATTGGAGTTCAATGTGTGTTCTAATGGTTTGAATAAAGTTACTAAGCAATCCCAAAGTCCTCTTGATCTAACCAGCACAAATAGCCTGATTTCTGTCCTCCTTGGGCTCTTAATGACACTTCCATGACCTGGGGATGCTATTTAGGCAGAACATCTAACTGCCCGAGCCCACTGCAAGCTAAAGCATTTCCGTGATGACAGAAAAGTCTATGAGCACAGCTTTGGAGGGACAAGGAAAGGGACTCGGCAGTGGAAACTTTCCCAGAGCTGAGCTTTAACTCAACTCGCTGAAGTTCAAGACCTTCTGACGGGTGCTGAGGGGCCAGCAGTGCACGTAGGAACTGGCAGGAGACTGCCTGTCTGTGAGCCCAGTCTCAGCCTCCTTGTTGTATTTCTTCTTCCTCCCTGGCTGCCCATGCCCAGAAACCTCCATGGCCCAAGTTCTCTTTATTTATGTGTTATCTGGGGCCTATGACTTGTGATAAGCCACCTCCATTTGTCCCTTTTGATCATCTCTTGTTAGCCGGCTGGCTCCAGTTTGCCGGAAGTAGCCACTGATGACTATCAGGTAAAAACGAGAGCCCAGCGGTGGCAACCCTGAAAAGTGACAGGAGACCAAGGGCAGACTTGGCATTTTGAATTTACCATTGTCATTTATTATTTCTCAGAAGCCAGCTGGTGACACATGAGACTTACAAACCGACATGGTCTCCATCTCCCAGGCTCTGAAGATACCACTGCTATTGGTTACTTTTAATAACCCTGACATATCCCAGCCACATCCTGTTGCAAACAGCCGAGCTCTGTCTGGTAGGTCAGCATCCTTTAAGGCTGCTCTCCGGGGTGGCACTGCCGAGGCTAATGATTCTCCTATTCGGAAGTGCATGAGATGATCTGCCCTTCAAACGCTTGCCTTCCCTTGGTTGAGGTCTAGCCAGGTCTCATCTCTCAGTACTTTTCCTATTTCCTTTGTAGAACCAGTCTGCTGCTTGTGTGTGAATCCTTAAGGACTGGGTTGTCTTTTTATACAGAACTTCCTGGAAATATTGCAGCTCTGGAACCTTCTTTTTTTCGGGTTAAAAGGGAAGGATTCTGAAAAGGACCTGGGTTTTCTGCATTTTTTTCATTTGTCTCATGTAAATGATTTAAAGAACATGTTTCCAATTACTGGAACAAGAATAGGACTACTTAACCTGCCATACAATGCCAGTCATTTGCATACTACCTTAAAAAAAAAACATATCTGCATGCCATCTGTGATTTTCTTCCTTGCTATTTCACATTTAATAGCCTACACTAACCTTACTCTAAGCAATATTTATAAAATCATGGGTTTGATGTGACAGTTATAAGTTTTTTTAAAATATTAAAATTAAAATGTAATTGTTAAAAAGAAATATTTCCCTACCTACCAACTAAAATGATTTCCTACACTACTACTGTAAGCCTCCCAACTTTGGGAAACACTCACCTAGACTATGGTTTTTGGAAGAGATTTACATAAAGAGCTTTATAGAGACAAATCTAACACTATTTCAACTTAGCCAAAGATGAAGCATTACTATGTCTTGTTTATAATAACTTTGGAAATTAAGGAAATTTAATGTATTCCAGGACAATGCAAACAATCTCACTGCCAAGAGGTCAAAACTTAAATAGGAAATTTATAAGCATTGTTAAATCCTATTTTTTTAAAAAGCCACCTGAATTCTTTCTTTAAAAGTTGGTCAGTTATCCATTTAGTTTTGCATGATCACATCTGAGCAGTGCAGTCTGGGGAGAACCCGAAGCCACTGCTGCCCACTCGGTCCTACTACACAGGCTGGACAAACACAACACAACAAACGCCATCCATCTTTCCATCTCCCACTCAAATCCTCCAGCTCCAAAAGCAGAAACAATCTCAGCTGTGATCTGTAATAATTCCATTAACCCTGCAATGAAGCATTAAATTAAACTGCCTAGGGCAGATTCTTCTTTGGCTACAATGGGACATGTACCTCGTAAGGCCTTCACTTTATGCTAATAGATTTACTAACCAACTACATATTTACAGGAGAACACACATAAGCAAATAATTTGGCAAATTGTGACATCTCCAGTGGGGGTGTTACAACAACTGATTTTCCCCTGACACTATTTAAAGATTTTAGTTATACAGAGCTTTATTTAGCCTTAGAAAGAGCAGTGTTCAAGTGGTTGATCTTTCTGTGGACTTCACAAACCAATACTTTTTGAAAAAAAATTAAAGCTGACTTGAGCTGGCACTGTAGTGGAAAGCCTTTGGGCATCTCTGGTATAAATCACCACCCTGGACTCTGTGGGAGACTTGGAGAAGGAATATTCAAGTCAGTGGCAGAGCCTGGGCCAGACCCCAAGTTCCTGACAACTAATTCAGCACTCTCTACACCAGCCTCGCTTCCCAGCCTTCCCGGAGAGAATGTGAAGATTTCTCTCCAGCAAATTCCATCTCTGGGGGTAACTTCATTGTCTGTCTCTTTAGTATGCTGCCCTATTTCTCTAAAGCTAGTGAACTACAGAAGTCACCTAGCTCCTTGTAAAAAGTATGCTCTGCTAAGAGAACAGCAAGAAGCGGGACTTGTGCTACAAATATTTGGGTCTCCAACACATGAGGTTTAGCACCCAAAAAGAGGACGGTGATTTCAAAGCACTCCCATCTAAATTCCATGGAATGTCTTATCAACCCAGATGTGGAAAGAGGTCAAGAATGCCAGAAAAATGTTTCATCACTCGATCATTAAAGGGTACTGAAATCTAGAAATATAACACGTCAGAGCTGGAAGCGATCTTGCTCATGGTCATAGAATTGGTTTGTGTCAGTAGAAGCTTGGATGTCACATATCCTTCTTTCTTTACTGGAGTGTTTTCTGAAGCTCTTTTCCCCTGTGATGGCAACAGCAATGAAGACAGGTCCAACCCTATAATCTCAACTACTCAGCACGTGGTGTGTAGACCTATACCCTTAGGCCTTGCCTCCTATTACCAAGCAACAGGAGACTTACTGTGAAGCCTGCTCAGCCAAGGCCAGAGAGCTCCCGTCTGCACACAGATCTTCTGTGCATCACCAGGGACTGTCTGTTCCAAGGTGCAGTACCTAGAAAGCTGGCTAACAGAGGAAGTAAAGCAGATCCCTGGGGGCTGCTGAACTGACAAAGATGTAGTAGCAACAGTCAAAACAACAACAAAAACTACTCAAGCCTAAATTCCCTGTGTTCTTGCTCTCCGAAGCACCACCCCACTCATACACAGGACTCAAGAACATATCAGCAGCCCTCTCCTACCTATTGCACCAGCTGCTAACCCCAGGCACCGCTTCAAGGGCTTCCAACCTCTACGTGGTTAAAGCAGCACACATCCGCTCTCAATATCACTGCGCTCATTTCTCAGGCCATTCTGGAATGTCCTCCACACCTGGCCAACCCCAAGTGGAGTAAACTTACCTGTCAGCGTCTCCAAGGCCCAGGGAGGTATTTCTTTGCAGCGTCTCCCGCACCACAGCCATCCCATCAGGGAGCCGGTTCAGGCGACGGGTGTAGAGGCCAAGTCCACCATCGGTCATGTACCTTGAAAAGAAGAGGATGATGCAAATGTATGATCAAAAGCAAGTCGTGGACAGTCTTGTTCCTATCCAGAAGCCCTGCATGGCCATGCTGTGTTCTAAATGGAAAGGAACTCTCCCAAGGCTCTGTCACCGATTGGAGCCCAGGGCTAATGCAGCCGCTGATTCAACCCAGAGGATCACCAGCTTGTTCGCAAAAATAGAACTCAGCTTAATTAACCCAAACTCACAGGAATCTATGAAGCAGAAGGGAACTAGTGAATAAAATTAACTGTCAGATGTATTCATGACATTCTTTTTAATGCCAGCAATTATACAAGCAGGTGTTTCACCTAATAATGTGAATGGAACTGGCAAGTCATTAGTAAATCATAGGGAAAAATATTACAGAAATATGACAGTGGAGGAAGCAGGCAAGCTTTTAAGAGAGGCAGAAAGAATAGAGGATGAGGGCTGGCCGAGTGGCTCAGTTGGTTAAGAGCATGAGCTCTGAGCAACAGGGTCAAGGGTCTGATTCCCACATGGGCCAGTGAGCTCCGCCCAAGCTGAGCTGCCACTGAGCTGCCAACAGGTGGCAGGGTGGCTCAGCTGATGAGAGCACGTGTTCCTAACAACAAGGTTGCCAGTTCAACTACCACATGGGATGGTGGGCTAAGATTGAACACAGCACCTTGAGCTGAGCTGAGCGGCTGCAAGCTGCCGATGGGCAGCTGGATGGCGACTGGACTTGGAGCTGAGCTAGCTGCGCTGCGCCCTCCACAACTAAGACTGAAGGACAACAACTTGGCCGTTCCCCTTCCCCAATTCCCTAACACTGTTCCCCTTCCCCAATTCCCCCAATAAAATCTTTAAAAAAAAAAAAGAGGATGAAAGAGGCACCTTTGCCATCACAGGCAAGCCACTTACAGCCTTCCTGCATCCCAAGGCAAACATGAGAATACTTGAGATAAGGCATATGAAAGCACTCTGCAATTTGTATTAGAGCATAGAAATGAAAGACATTATTAGGATTGTCATCATTTCTTGAAGTTTCTGCAATGGTGAATTTCATCTTTTATACCAATGTCTGAAGGGGGTTGCCACAAAACTCTCTGAATCACACAAATGCTGATTTACTCTTTTCCAGATCTCTTGGTGATGCTACAAAGTGATCTTCTGATGAAATCAGCATTGTCCTGGGAACGGGGGGGGGGGACTCCTGGAACTTTCTGGATAGATGGCTGACTGTCCCCAAAACAGACCAGTTCCTGAGATCTTGGCCATCAGTAGGAGGTAGTTCAGGTCCAAAGCAGCTTTACCTCATCTACCTTGGCTCCTTCACAACGCCCCGTCAGGGAGGCTGCTGAGTTATTACCCTCATCTTCAGAGGGGAACAGGAAGCAAAGTAAAACTTGGGCAGAACAAGAAACCAAAATCAGATCCCTTTAATTCCCACATAAGCTCTGTCAGACAGACCTGGAAGGTGTCTGAAAACGTGTTTTACCTTTCAAGTCAAATAACATGTAGTAAGAAGACCCACAAGTAGTTTATGTTCCTGGAACAGTCAGCTGAGCAATGTCATAGAATGTTTCACAGCATTTAAATGTTTAGCTTTAGAATAAATAAATATATGGTGTAGATCCTGAAGGTTCTCAATCCTTGAGGTTTTTTTTCCCCCCCTATCTCTAGTTTGGGACCTTTTAGGAACATAATCTTAGAAAAAGTGGAATTATAAGAAGCTATGGAGGTTGTCTAAAACCAGTATATTCAAGTTAGGGGCAGAGAAGAAAGTTCTCGCTGGAGTCATCCTGGGCTAGAAGGAGTTTCTAGAGTGAGTCAAAGTAACTTCCCCTTAGAGCAGCTTCCAGGATACCACGTCTGAACTAAACTTCTCTGATGCCCCCCCACTGATGACATTAAAGACCACAGATGATGCAATCCCAACATAATGGAAACTGTTGGAGTCTGTCAGACCAATGATTTGTGGTTGTGCCAACAAAACAACCGCAGAACAGACTGAAGTTTTCCCTCAACCATACCATTTTAAAAACAAAAAGCACTCTGTGTATATATTAAAAACCACTGAAATTGCCTTCCTAGTCCACTCTCCTTCCTGGATAACAGAATCCTAAATTTGTTCTTCTCTGGCAGGGCTGGAGGGCCATGAATCTTGACTAGTCTAATCACAGGGCTTCTATACCCCTTGACTAGTTTACAAATGGTGGATATGATGTAAATTTGGCTAGTGAAGTCAAATTTGCTGGGAGGCTTCTGGAAAAGTTCTTTTCACTCTTTAAAAAAGGACATAAGGGGGGCGGCCAGGTTGCTCAGTTGGTTAGAGCACGAGCTCTGAACAACAAGGTTGCTGGTTTGATTCCCACATGGGCCAGTGAGCTGCGCCCTCCCCAACTAGATTGAAGATAACGACTTGTTGAGCTGCCACTGAGCTGCTGGTGGGCAGCCGGATGGCTCAGTTGGTTAGAGCGTGTGTTCTTAACAAGGTTGCTGGTTTGAGTGCCACATGGGATGGTGGGATGGTGGGATGGTGGGCTGTCCCCGCCCCCCCCCCCCCCCCCCCCGACAACTAAATTGAAAATGGCAACTGGACTTGAAGCTGACCTGTGCCCTCCACAACTAGATTGAAACAACTACTTGACTTGACTTGACTTGGAGCTGATGGGTCTTGGAAAACCTCACTGTTCCCCAATATGTTCCCCAACAAGAAAACAAAACAAAACGTAAGGGTGTTCGCTGGCGTCGTTGTGCGGCCATTGCTCTCCAACGCCAGCACCACCTCTAGCTCGCTGAGCTCCAGCTGAAGGAGAAAGGGGCTGAGAGGTCCCTCAAAGCAGACTGCCTGCAAACCGACCAGTGGTAAAGCACCCAGGAAGCAAGTGGCTACAAAAGCCGCTTGCAAGAGTGCGCCCTCTACTGGAGGGGTGAAGAAATCTAATCGTTACAGGCCTGGGATGGAGGCACTCTGTGAAATTAGACGTTATCAGAGATCCACTGAACTTCTGATTCGCACACTTCCGTTCCAGCGTCTGCTGCGAGAAATTTCTCAGGACTTAAAAAACAACAGATCTGCGCTTCCAGAGTGCAGCTATTGGTGCTTTGCAAGAGGCAAGTGAGGCTTAACTGGTTGGCTTTTTTGAAGGTACCAACCTGTGTGCTATCCATGCCAAAAGTGTAGCAATTATGCCAAAAGACATCCAGCTAGCATGCCGCATATGTTGAGAAGGTGCTTAAGCATCCACTATGATGGGAAACATTTCATTCTTTAAAAAAAATTCCTCTTCTGTTATTGGTAGCTCTGAATGTTATTTATTTATTTATTTTTTGTGGAGTCAAAAGGTATCAAGTATATGATTTAAAGTGGAAAAACAGGGGACAGAAATCAGGTATTGGCAGGTTTTCCATTTTCATTTGTGTGTGAAGTTTTAACATAAATGCAAGACAAAAGTATTAATGCAAGTCAAAAGTTTCAGTGAACAAGTTTCTGGAGTTCAACTTTATAATGATTATAAATAAACCTGTTAAATTTTTCTGGACAATGCCAGCTTTTGGAGTTTTTTTTAATCAAGTAAATTTCTTATTGATGGCAACTAACTGGTGTTTGTAGCATTTTTATCATACAGTAGATTCCATCCATTTGTTATACTTTTCTGAGTTGTCCTACATGCAAGTACATGTTTTTAATATTGCTTGTCGTCTGTGCTGTTCCTGTAAGTTTGCTATTAAAATACATTAAACTATTAAAAAAAAAGATAAGAAAAATATGGCCTAAATGTTCGTTTTCCCCTAAAATTCATATGTTGAAGCCCTAATCCCCAATGTGATGGTATTTACAGGCAGGGCCTTTTGGGAGATAATTAGGGTTAAATTAGGTTATGAGGGCAGAGCCCCCATAATGAGATCAGTGTCCTTATAAATTGAGAGAATAGACCTCTCTCTCTCTCTCTCTCTCTCTCTCTCTCTCTCTCTCTCTCTCTCTCCCTCCCTGCCTCCCTCCCTCCCTCCCTCCACCATGTGAGGAAACAGCAAAAAGAGAGCTGTTTGCAAGCCAGGAAGGGACCTTCTCCAAGAATAAAATCTTCAGGCGCTCTGATTTTAGATTTCCCAGACCCCGTAAGTGTAAGAAATAAATGTTTGTTATTTAAGCCTAAATAAATAAGTACCACTGAATTTTGTACTTTAAAATGGTAAATTTTATGGTATATGATTTATATCTCAATTTAAAAAAAGTGATGACAACTATAGTTAACTAATTCTTTGTGTAATTACTTTCTAATGCTTGTCTCTCCCACACAAGGCAGTAAGCTCCTTGTAGGCAGGGACGCTTCTTATTGTGTTCCAGTCCATATCCCACGTGCCTTGCACATTCTAAGTGCTTATTTAATACTGTTTTTGTTGAAGGAATGAAGCCCAAAGACATAGTTATCAGGTAGGGTTTAGTAAAAACTTTTTGAAAGGACACCAACTACAGGTTTTCCTTCCTCTTAAATGTCAGCAAACTTGACATCTAAGACATATAGCAAGGCAAATTAAACGGCCAGTCTACCCATCTGTCTGTCTGTCCATCTATCCACCCACACATCCACCCATCAAACAGAGGTAGTGACCCAGGGTCCAGCGGTGAACTACATGCACATCTTATAACAGGAAAAAACCACTTATGTTAAAATGTAATTTTGTCAGAGGCTAGACTTTTCAGATCAAATGTCCTTTCAAGGACAATTCAGTGGAAAGTCTTCAAAACACAATCTGTTGCACCATTAAGCAAGGCAGTTAATTTGATTTCAGAAAAATCCTCCCAACCACAGAGATAAACAAAAAGAATTTCAACTGGGGAGATCTTGTCAAAGGACAAACAAACTAATTTTAGCATTCATTTCCCTGCTGGATTTTTACTGCTGGTGAAACAACACATGCTGCTGGGCAATTACATGCACCTGGGCATGTGCCTGAGCCTGGCTCCCCCGCTACCCCACCCTGGTTTTCTGTGAAGACTGGACAGTACAGCCT